TGTTTCCATTTGGTCAGGCCACTTTCAGACAAAGGATTTTAAATCACTGAATAACCTATATGAGAGGGAGGCTTCTCCCATGGGATCTTAGCCTGTAGGTTTTACACCTTAGGAGGCACTTAAAGTTTCCTGAGGTAGCTCAGTATTGAAGTGGAGAAGAGTACCTAAGCTCAAAAGAAAGCAGCTCTCTTAATGCTGAAAAACACCTGCCAGTTTTAGGGCCACCACTTATTTGTGTATGCTTTGCCAATATGATGTTACAGGGAACTAATTTATCCTCCCACCTGAAACAATGAAAAAAACTGTCAAAATATAGGAAACAACAGATTATAAGACACCAGAAATCAGGCAGGGAAGGATAGTGATCCATCCCTGAGACATGGGCAGCAAACTATAAATAATATTTCTATATACTAGGAATGAACAATTATGATTTAAACATTTTCAAATGGTACCATTTAAGCTAGAATAAAACTTACATATGTAGCCACAAATAAATGGAGACATATATTGTGCTCATGGATTGGAAGAGTCAGTATGGTAAGATGTCAAATCTTTCCACATGCATCCATAAATTTAATTTCATCCTAATTCAAAAATCTCATGAGGAATTTGCATAAATATCAACAATTTGATTCTAAAATTTATAAGGAAATACAAAAGAACCAGAATAGCTACACCAATTTTAAAAATAGGTACAAAGTTGTAAGACTAACACTGTCTGATTTCAACACTTACTATAAAGGTACAGTAATCAAGAGAGTGTGGTATTGGTGAGAAAATAGATCAATGGAACAGAACAGAGAGCCCAGAAACAGATCCTTATAAATAAAATTAAAAAGTAGGATGTGGATCAACTGGAGATATCACACATTTCTGGCTGTAGTGCAAAGTGGTACATCCACTTTGAATGTTTGGCAGCTTCTTGTAAGTTAAATATTCACATACGGCTCAGTGATCCCACTCCTAGATATTTACTCTAGCGAAACGAAAACTTGTGTTCACACAAAAAGCTGTACTCAAATGTTTATAGCAGTTATATTCTTAATTGACCCAAATAATTGGAAACAACCCAAATATCCTTCAATAGTTGAATGGATAAAAACACTGTGGTATGTCCATACCATGGAATATTACTTAGCAATAAAAAGGTGCACACACAACAACTTCATGAATATCAAATGCATTATGCTAAGTGAAAGTAGCCTAACATAAAGACTATATTCTGTATGATTTCACTTATCTGAAATTATGAAAAAACAAAACTACAGTGACAGAAGGCAGATCTGTTGTTTCCAGAGTCCAAGGGTGAGAAAAGGGATTGACTCTAAACAGACATGAAGGAATCTGGGGCTGACAGAAATGTTTGGGTGTTAGTTACACTACTGAACATATTTGTAAAAGTTTATTAATATATACGATATGGGGTGAAGCGAGACAAGTGGCTGTTTGGAAAGAGCAATATTGACAAACATCAGCTGCCAACTCAATGCTCTGTTGTTATTCAGAGGCTGGGGAATCAGGATATACTAATTTTTCAACATAGGAATGTATAATATACAAAGTATTTCCCAATAATTGCTGCAGTGCTGAACTGGTCTCCAGGACTGTGATGCTTGCCATCTTTTACCTTTCTCTGTTTGTCTCTCTCTTCTAGTCTCTCTTTGAAGGAGCTGGGTTAAGACAGGACCCTTTAAGAACAGAAAGAAAAGTCTGTGCGATGTGTCTTTAGTTCTAAAGGTCTGATAAGTGAAACCCCTCATCACTCATTTCAACAAATGTTGCACATAAAACAAAAAAAAATACTTAAAATGTGCAAAGAGACTAACTGAATGAAAAGTTCTGGTCACCATCTGAACTGCTGCTGATATAGTGATATCGTAGAGGATATTAAAGAAGAAGCAGCTTCTAGATTCCTTAGAAGAGAAGTGGCATTAGTGCACAAGATGGAAAAGGGTGAAAGAAAGGGAGAACAATGGACCCAACCCAAGTCTTTTTCCGAGGTCTCAGGTCCTTTTTGGATAAAGGTATGTGAATCTTTGAAGAACCTGGATGGGAAGTTTTCCCAAGAGCCCTCAGATCCTAGGTCTCATCTTTCTGGAGGCACTTAAGGGTCTTCTGAGAGGATGGTGATTTGGCCAAAGTGAATACAGCTGTGTAGAGACAACCACACCACTTCCCCACAGGGCCACCACATGTGATTGTACATGTTGTGAATTATCTCACTCAAAAAAGTGCCAATCATATTTTAGTGTACCTGAATGGCACTCTTTGGAGTGGGACACTGCACAAAGTATGGTTAAATGTGGTGACTCTGCCCAAATGCTCCCCAGCCGTGTTACTTTCATAGTCACCTGATGCTTCCATGTGTGGCCCCCAGGACTTATACAAAATGTATATAAAACACCCACTCCAATGCCTTCTCTCTTCCACCTCTCCCTGCATTAGTATCCTCTCACCTGCTGCATGCTCGATTTGCAGGTTTTCAGGCTGAGACAGAATGATCCTTTCTTCTCTCCTCCTCCTCCTCACTGCCTGTAGCCCAAGCTCCAGAGCAATGAATCAGAGATTTCTGCTAAGTGTGAGAGGCTGGTCTAAATAACATAGGTTATTAAAGCTCTCATAAAAATATGAATTCATTTGTAACAGAGTGTGGGTAAAGTCAAACCTAACGGCACTCGGGAAAATGCAGGGGCTTCCCCGGTGGCTCAGTGGTTAAGAATCCACCTGCCAATGCAGAGGGCACGGGTTCGATCCCCGGTCCAGGAAGATCCTACATGCTGCGGAGCAACTAGGCCCGTGCGCCACAGCTACTAAGCCTGTGCTCTAGAGCCCGCGAGCCACAACTACTGAGCCCGCACACCACAACTACTGAAGTCCACATGCCTAGAGCCCATGCTCTGCAACAAGAGAAGCCACCGCAATGAGAAGACCCTGCACTGCAATGAAGAGTAGTCCCCACTCGCCGCAACTAATGAAAGCCCGCATGCAGCAATGAAGACCCAATGCAGCCATAAATAAATAAATAAATAAATTTATAAAAAAGAAAAAGAAAATAATGCAGACTTGGAGGGTAAGTAAAAGATGAGGCTGGTAGCTACATGAGAGTAACAAACAAAACCAAAGGCCAGCTTGTCTACCAGAGAGCACCAGATAAAGAGAAAGCAAGTAAGAGCTCTTCTAATACCACAACAAATCTGAAAGACTTAATTCAACAACTACTTGTTCAAAGTGGTTCAAATTATTTTTATTTAACTCTGAGGAATCATTTTCCCATGGCATTTTTGAAAACTATAGAAAAATCAGCCTTCAGTTAGGAAACCTAATAGCTGGGTATGATACACACAGAGACAGACACCTTGACAGAGAGATCAGGAAAAGAAACTAAGAGTACCCATGAAAATTACTACCATATCAGAGTGACTGTGTGCCTGCACAAGGCTGTGCCCTCTGAGGAACAACATAAGAAAACTCACAGCAGCCAAAATAGACTTTACTAACATACCCCAGCCCATTAAAAAACCAAATAAAAAAGCAGATAATAACAATACAATCACTGTATGGTATCAGTATCCAGAGTACCAAATGTGCTGTTTTAGAGGAAATTATGAGATGTGCAAAGATAATATAACCCTTACACAGGACAAAAACAGATGACAGAAACTGCCCATGAGAGTATCCAGAAGTTATACTAATATACAAAGTCTTTGAAGCAACCATTATAGAATTTTCCAATGAAATAAAAGCCATGTTTGAGAAGTAAAGAAGTTATGATGACACTGTCTAATCTAAAGCGTATATTGTTGGTGGGAATGTAAATAAGTGCAGTCACTATAGAGAACAGTATGGAGGTTCCTTTAGAAACTAAAAATAGAGCTACCATATGATCCAGCAATCCTACTACTGGGCATATATCCAGAACAGACAAAAACTCTAATTCGAAAAGATACATGCAACCCTATGTTCACTGCAGCACTGTTTATAATAACTAAGACATGGAAGCAACCTAAATGTCCACTGATGAATGAATGGATAAAGAAGATGTGGTACATATATACAGTGGAATACTACTTAGCCATAAAAAAGAATAAAATAATACCAACTGCAGCAACATGGATGGACCTAGATATTATCATATTAAGCGAAGTAAGTCAGACAGAGAAGGACAAATATCATATGATATCACTTATATGTGGAACCCAAAAAAAACTGATACAAATAAACTTATTTACAAAACAGAAGTATACCCACAGACATAGAAAACAAACGTATGGTTACCAAAGGGGAAAGGGGAGAAGGGATAAATTAGGAGTTTGGGATTAACATATACATACTACTATATATAAAATAGACAATCAACAAGGACCTACTCTATAGCACAGCAAACTATACTCAATATTTTGTAATAATGTACAATGGAAAATAATCTTTAAAAGAATATATACACATTCAGATATATATATATATGTATGTGTATATATATATATATATATACCTGAATCACTTTGCTGTACACCTAAAACTAACACAATATTGTAAACCAACTATACTCCAATATAAAATAAAAATTTAAAAAAAGAAGAGCAGAGTGCTCTAGTGTATTTCAAAATGGTTCCTTTTCCCTTCCCCGTGCCAGAAGACCAAGGAAATATTTCTCTGATAATTACTGTGGGAATCTTGTAGATCTCCCGGAGGTAAATCTTACAAAATTGTGGGGTCCTGTATGACTGGGTCCCCCTGGAGTTTTTAACTCTCAAGAGTTGTCTACACTGAGCTTGTAGCAACTCATCAACTACAGTTGTTTTCCTATAGCAGTCTGCTCTTGAGTCTCTGATTCTGGAAGCTGAGACCCCCTGTATTTGCTTTTTTGTCTCACCAATCTTGGGGGTAGTTGTTTGCTCTGTGCCTTCCCCTCTCATGAAAATCCAAGAAGAGTTTATTTTTCACTCTGTTCAGGTTACTTGTTGCAAGGATGAAGTGGCAATTTTTATGCTTCTTACCTCCAGAATTAGAAACTGATAGTAAAATGAATCTTGTATTCACATGCACATCTGTTTGCAAATAAGAGTAGCCTTATTCATAATTGCTTCACACTAGAAAAATCCCAGATGTCCTTCACCTGTGACAGGTACCCTGCACAATAAGAAAAAGAAACAGAGTATTGATCTAATGATTCTCTATCTCCTTCTCTTTCCCTTTCCTCCCTTCTCATTTTCTCTCTCCTCATTGCATTAGGAAGGGACACCAAAAGGAAAGTAAGAGAAAAACTAAGAATATGTGAACTTTTTAAGAGTGACAACAAAAAAATACTATCAAAGAGTATGTTTCTCAGTATGATGCACAAACCCTAATAAATTGGTGACTTACATAGGATTCAAACAGTCTTTCAAAAGAATGATCATGTTTTAGACACATGTGGGAAGGAAGGAAGAAAGGAAGGAAGGAAGGGAGAAAGAAAGAGATAAAGAGAAAGAAAGAGAGGGAGAGGGAGAGAGAAAGAAAGAAAGAAAGAAAGAAAGAAAGAAAGAAAGAAAGAAAGAAAGAAAGAAAGAGGAAGGAAGAGAGAGAGGGAGGAAAGGAGGAAGGAAGAAAGAAACAAAGAAAAAAAGAAAGAGGGAGGGAGGAAGAAAGAGAGAAAGAGAGAAAAAATGGAAAAAACGTATCTCTATACCCAAGAGAGAAAAGATTTTGAGCCTCAGAAGGTTAAGGAGAAGCTTAAAATGGGGGAGGAAGCTAATACATGAGAATAGTTTAACATATTTGTTGGTTGGGGTCAGGAATAGGTTCTGCAAAATGAATAATACTTTCCAGGCAGCATGGTACAATATAATAGCACAGAAGGCCTTGTTCCTGTTTCAGTAAAGTAATTTTAGAAAAATGGATGTGAGTCTCAGAAGAATTCAGTGGGATGCTTTTAGGTCCTTGCCTCTGAGAAGGCTCCTAAAAGAGTTCTCTGAAGTAGTCTAGCACAAGTATGGAAGGTGCATAAGAGTGGCATAGTTGCACTCTAGGGAAATCATCCCCCTGCAAGTAACTAAGCACTCCCAATGCACCCACAGTGTCATCACATATGTCGCACATGTCATGTGTTACTCCACTAGCAGAGGCATCAATCATTTTTAATTATACATGATAGCCACTGCTGCAGTAGGGTGGTACACACAGCATGTATAGGGATGGCAGCCCTGCCTAAACACCCACTAATTCACTTTTGAAGCAACCCCTTAGTGTTGTCAGGTTGTGAGTGATCAGTGGAATTTGTACTCAGGACCTCTATAGCACTGACTCCACTGCCCTTCCTCATACTTGCCTCTTTGGTGGTATCCACTCACATGTTGCAGCTTTGATATGGCAGTTTTCAGAATTGATAAATATTAATTCTTACTGTTAGGTTCTGTTGCTTATGGAAGAAACACCCTTGCATGCCTTATCCTATTCCTTTTCTCACTGTTCTATATAAAGCATTAACAAGAAGTTTGCATTCCCCAGATCCATTAATTAAGCAGTAAATATACTTCACGTCACCAACCCATACTGGAATCACCTGATATGAGTCCCTCTACCTGAGTTACCTATCTCAACTCCAGTGAAACAGAAAAATCAGGGAAAGCATACACGATCCTAGATGTAAAGAAAAAGAGAATAAACAGTAGGTGGCGGAATGGAGAAAACAGAAATCCCTTTTCTGCCTCAGACCCCAGGGTGTAGAAAGCCCATTTCACTTAATAGGACTGATCTACAAGATGTAAAATATACCTGACATCTGAGGATGCCATGATATTCCTTCAGCTCTTGGGTTTTCTGGGTCATTATGTGAAACAAGATTGTTTAGAACATGTTATTGCACTATTTCCATTCTGAGATATATTATATGGTGCCTGCATTTCCCTGTCTTGTTCCCAAGGTACCACAATATAGGTACACAGATATGGTGAATGGATGCCAGACGCTGGGGCTTTAGTATTTAAGGTGACTATGGCCTACAAAATGGGTTCTCCCTACCTCTAGCTCCCAATCAAGAGCTACAGTGTACTAGTGAAGTCGCAACCCTTCAGCATTTCTCATCCATTCTCAAAACCAGATTATTGTTTCAGAGGCTAAATACGAGGAACATGTGGTGAGAGCTCAGGGACACTATTCCACCACTCAGCCTCCTATCATAGAGTGAAGGCTCTACTGCAGGCACAGCATCTAAGAATACTGGATCTCTAATATACTTTGCTCTAGATTGATCATTGAGTTTAGGTTCCACATCAGGTGAGGCAAACAGAGAAGAACTGCCACTGATAAGCACCCTACTTGCAAAGCAGAAACGTCATTCTGAGAGAAGCAGGCCTGCCTTTAGTGCCAGCTCCAGATCAGTGATTCTGTTATTTTTGCCCAGTGTGAGAGGTTACCCTGAATAACAGAATATTAAGGCTCTCCCTAAAGAACAAGACGTTATTTGTAACAGAGTGAAGGGGATGTCAAACCTAACCACATTCTCAAAACCAATATAGATTTTGGTGGTCAGTAAATAAAATGAGCTTACAGCAATCTGAGAGTAATAATCTGAAAAATAGTCCAGCTTGTTTACCACAGAGAAACAGGGGTAAACATAGTTAATAAGAGCCCTCATGGTATCTAAACAAACCTCATAGATTTGCCTCAAAACTACCCGTGCAAAAGGGTCTGAATTATTTAGATCAAACTCTGGACCACTTTTGCCTGCAGCATTTTGAAAACTACATAAAGATCTGCCTGCAATTAGGAAGTCTAAGGGCTGGGTGTGATACACATGAAGGCAGACAGCTTGACAGAGAGATCAGGAAGAGAAAAAGTCAAAGAGAACTCCACTAAAACCACTGTCTTCTCAGAATGCCTGTGTGTATAACAAAGCCTGTGCACTAATCAGAAAAACACAGAATGCTTCATGCTGTAGACAAAACTTCACCGATATAGTATTGCCAAGCCAATAAACAAATAAAGAAGCAGAAAACAACAAAAACAACAAAACAATTCCAGGGATGGGGAAACATTATCCAGAGTTGCTTCAATTAATCATCTTTCAACTAAACTTATGAAAGGAAAGGAAAAGAAAATATATTCTATACACAGGAGAAAAACAGACAACAGAAAATTCCTGTGACAGGTTCCAAATATCGTAATAATAAAGGCTTTAAACATTATATTTTCAAAGAAAGAAATAAACCATTATTTGAGAAGCAAAGGAAGTTATGATGACATATATACAAAGATGTATATCTCTTCAAACATGCATACTAAAAAATTGGCAAAAAATATTTTTAAAGTAAAGAAGATGCTTTACTTTAAAACAACTAGAAAGACAGGAACACAAACCCACCCATTATCAGAGAGGCTGCCTCAAATCATAATAAGGTCACAGACACCCCAAAACACACAACTGGATGTGGTCCTGCCCACCAGAAAGACAAGATCCAGCCTCATCCACCAGAACACAGGCATTACTGCCCTCTACCAGGAAGCCTACACAACCCGCTGAAACAACCTTAGCCACTGAGGGCAGACACCAAAAACAGCAGGAACTACAAAGCTGCAGGCTGTGAAAAGGAGAGCCCAAACACAGTAAGTTAAGCAAAATGGGAAGACAGAGAAACACGCAGATGAAAGAGCAAGGTAAAAACCCACCAGACCAAACAAATAAAGAGGAAATAGGCAGTCTACCTGAAAAAGAATTCAGAATAATGATAGTAAAGATGATCCAAAATCTTGGAAATAGAATGGAGAAAATACAACAAATGTTTAACAAGGACCTGGAAGAACGAAAAAGCAAACAAACAAGGATGAACAACACAATAAATGAAATTAAAAACTCTCTAGAAGGAATCAATAGCAGAATAACTGAGGCAGAAGAACGGATAAGTGACCTGGAAGATAAAATAGTAGAAATAAATACTGCAGAGCAGAATAAAAAAAAAGAATGAAAAGAATTGAGAACAGTCTTAGAGACCTCTGGGACAACATTAAACACACCAACATTCAAATTATAGGGGTCTCAGAAGAAGGGAAAAAGAAAGGGATGGAAAAAATATTTGAAGACATTATAGATGAAAACTTCCCTAATATGGGAAAGGAAATAGTCAATCAAGTCCAAGAAGTGCAGAGAGTCCCATACAAGATAAATCCAAGGACAAACACGCCAAGACACATATTAATCAAACTATCAAAAATTAAATTCAAAGAAAAATTATTAAAAGCAGCAAGGGAAAAACAACAAATAACATACAAGGGAATCCCCATAAGGTTAACAGCTGATCTTTCAGCAGAAACTCTGCAAGCCAGAAGGGAGTGGCAAAACATATTTAAAGTGATGAAAGGGAAAAACCTACAACCAAGACTACTCTATCCAGCAAGGATCTCATTCAGACTCGACGGAGAATATAAAACCTTTACAGACAAGCAAAAGCTAAGAGAATTCAACCACCAAACCAGATTTACAACAAATGCTAAAGTAACTTCTCTAGGCATGAAACACAAGAGAGGGAAAAGACCTACAATAACAAACCCAAACCAATTAAGAAAATGGTAATAGGAACATACATATCAATAATTACCTTAAATGTAAATGGATTAAATGCTCCAACCAAAAAACATAGACTGGCTGAATGGATACAAAAACAAGACCCATACATATGCTGTCTACAAGAAAACCACTTCAGACCTAGGGACACATACAGACTGAAAGTGAGGGGATGGAAAAAGATATTCCATGCAAATGGAAACCAAAATAAAGCTGGAGTAGCAATTTCATATCAGACAATATAGACCTTAAAATAAAGACTGTTAAAAGAGACAAAGAAGGACACCACTTAATGATCAAGGGATCAATCCAACAAGAAGATAGAACAATTGTAAATATTTATGCACCCAACATAGGAGCACCTCAATACATAAGGCAAATACTAACAGCCATAAAAGGGGAAATCGACAGTAACACAATCATAGTAGGGGACTTCAACACCCCACTTTCATGAAAATAAATAAGGAAACACAAGCTACAAATGATACATTAAACAAGATGGACTTAATTGATATTTATAGGACATTCCACCCAAAAACAACAGAATACACTTTCTTCTCATGTGCTCATGGAACATTCTCCAGGATACATC